AACACAAATATCTGTACTTTTACTCAAGTACGGAAAGTGAGTACTTTTGCCATCTCTGTTCACAGGTAGGAGATTTAAGGAGGACCGACCCACCGGTTAAACGCCCGCATCACAGATTAGCAGTCCGAACCTGAACAGAACCTTACTGGACCACTGACATCACTTCCTGTTTCAGTTCCCATTCATTAAACGTAACATAATGAAAGATTTTACTGTAGCTGCTCCAACTCTGAGAGCGGCCATTTTTGCCCAAATAAATACATTAGGGCCAAATATATTATAGCAAATAAACACTAAAAAGAAATGGAGATCAGTTTTTATTACGTGCCAGTTTATGTGCTTTACTGACTAAACTGGTGAGTCGTTGAGTTTTTCCTCAATGGGAACCACTTTAACTTGCAGTTTTCTCTAATCACTGATGGAGCATCCATGTTTCACACCAACACAGCCATAAACGACCTTCTGCACCGTTTCTGGCTTTCAATCAGACCCACAGCTAAAGGCGAGTCAGAGAAGGCTGCAGGTGCTTATAGGAAGTTAAGTATTGCTATAAGCTAATGCTACCTACTGCTAGCCTACGCAGTGGCCTCATCCATACAATGATGATGAGTTTGAACATAACGGCTGGAATCAGAACCACGGAGGAAATGACATGGTTTCCGTTGGTAACGGCACCATTTAATCACTCACTGAAAACAGGCTGTAAGTTGGTGGTAATGAAGAACGGCCAACAGTCCCTCCAGCTGTTTGTGGTGTGCAGCCTGGAAAACCTGTGCTGGACCTTCCTGAGGCTTTCTACAGCTCATCCAAGATGGACGAACAGTTTCTAATGATCTTTAAGGCCAATGTGATCAGACTGACCCTCAGAAACTGCTGAAGTTTCTTCACCATCTTATATAATAACTGTAGAAGAATCAGCAATCCAGTGCGTCCCGCTCTGCTCCAGGCTACCATTACTCCCAGTTGGACCTTTCCTACCCAGCTGGTCCACTTCACAGCCAAACAACCAGACTTCTCTGCCTGCAGCAAGTTTCAAACCAGCACCCAGTTTCAGGTATAACTTTACAGCACAGAAAGCCGTAGATTAAAACTGAGAATAAAATACTCACAGATCATTGGCAACAGGAAGACGGATTATTAAGAGTGTGAATATGACCTAGCAGTTACCATGGCAACAACCTCAGAGTGTCACATGATCATTAGTGTAGGATAAATGACACCCTGAAGGTGCTAGGTTTACCACCGTTGATGAACAGCAGCAAATTGTTGGCCATTTCTCAATTCACAAAAACGCGAGTACGGACTCATGTTCCCGCCAAGTCCGTTCTAGAGAAGAACCCAGGAAAGTCTGGACTCTGGGAGAACGGAGTCTGCAAAACACTCACTCACAGACACACCTGCTGCTGCACACTGCCAGTCAGATTGCTGAACTAAGGCTCCTCTTTTTTTCCAACAATGAAAATTGGCCATCATGCTGGGTTAGCCTATGCTAGCCGGCTGATGGTGGGCTGCACTGCGCTCCAGAAAGATGTGGGATTTGATCTACATTTCATCTCATAAATCATACGTGACGTCATGGGAGGAGAAGAGAAAAACCAACAGGAGAAAAGGAGGAGCTAGCTGCATGTCAGCGAGATGACAGAAACGTAGCCCCCTTTCTTTCTAGGTTAGCGCAAAAGTTTAGAGGGCAGGAGCAGTTGAATCAGTCAATCAGACGTTTGCACATCATGACCTGCTGCTGCTTTCCATTTACAGCCACACTCTGCTCTTCAATCAAACCAAGCTCATCTCTTACAGCCTGTTCCAAAGTTACGCCCCGCTGGGTTCCTCTGTAGCAACGTTTGTTGCCTGCGTGTATTTGCTCAGCAATGATCAAGCAAAGGAAAAACAAAAGGAAGTTTCACAGCATCTCTGCAGTAGCAAAAAACCCTTTGAGGGAAGCTGCAACGTTAGTAGCGAGCAAAGGCGAGCCAGACGGTCTCGATGAGACGCATCGCTTGTACTGCAGGAATATCAGCTTTAAAGTCGTAGGGAAATCATATTTAAATGTCAAATCATTCTGGCTTAAACATGTATATAAATGTACTCTTTGCTAGATGATATTGTCTAGAAATTTAAAAAATTCAATAAATAAAAAAAAAGAAATCAGAAAAAAAAATGTT